GCCGGGTCCCCCTTACCAGGCGCGGCGCTGCGGGCTGGGGGCCGGCGGGTCGGCGCGAGCGCGCGGCCGAAGGTTCCATGGAAGGGGTGCAGGGCAAGAAGGAAAATGGGACTAACGGAGTGCGCCCCCTGTCCCCGCAGCTGGGGACACCCCCTCCGGATGGGGCGGAACTGCTGCTGCGGAAACTGGAGAGCAGCGAGTTCGGAGCGTGCTGCCCCCCAATGGGATGCTTCCTGTCGGAGCCCGCGAGCCCCTCGCCCACTCCCATTTCCTCTTTAAGACGTGTGCAAAGAAGTGATGTTTGGAGCGTGAAAGAGAAGAACACGGGCCCCAATCCCCCCAGTTCCCCCGTTGCTAAAGACCCCTGTTGCGGCCGCGGGCGTGTCGTGCTCTCCGGCCACCATTCCCGGAAGATCAACGTTTCATCTCTCCTGTTGAGTCCAAGTACCTCTCACTCTAACACAGACCACGCTGACGTGAGTCTCCCTGTGAAAGCACCTACAAAGAGATCTACTGAGAAAATTAGTTATTTTCTTTAGCACAGGAAAGAATCACTGGCTTTTCAGGAAGGAGGACTTCTCTACCTTCGTGAACAGCTGGAGCCCAGGTGTGGAACAGGTTAGAATGGAGCCTTCCTCCTTTCCAGAAACTCCCCAGGGCTGGGAGGCAGAGAGTGACTACCCTTGTCTTTTGTTTCTTGGGGTTGGGTGTCTCTTCTTGGGGGCGTGTGTGTGATGTTTGAGGAGTGGTAAGCAGTTCTCTTCAGCGTATCCACGAGCTATTTCGCCAGCATGTGGAAGAATAGATCTTAGGTGTTTTCAGATGTAGTAAATCAAGGTATATACACGATTTAACACTATTTCCAAAGTAAAAAGGAGTGCCTAAAATTAATGGTGTAAAGAGTGAAAGGAAATATAAAATAAATAAGAATTGGGCCAAGAATGAGCTTGAGTGTTAGGTATAAAAATAATGAAGACCCCAAATAATAATTAAAACAAAACACTACATCATTTTGGAAGACAACTACTTAAAAAAAAAAAAAGAGGTAAAAGACAAATTTAGAAAAAAATCTCAAAATATTTTATTGCTGGAATAAGCAAGCGCAAATGCAGTTGTATAACAAAAGGCGAACATTGCCACTATCAATGAAGGCTCCCAGGGCAGAAAAAAAGAGTCTTGGGTCATAGTCTAGCTCTGGCTTCCCCAAGGAGTTATAGGAATTCCTCTTCTAGGGAGTTCAATCCATAGGATATTCTCTGGAAGGCATAGTGGCATCTGCCCAGCCAGGTGATGAATATTGAATATTGTACAAGAATTGAATATTGTACAATACTGAATATTGTACAAGACCATATAAGAGGGTATGCATTGTTTGAAATCTTCTGCTTGACAATCTCATCTTGGGGGCTTCCCTGGTGGCGTAGTGGTTAAGAATCCGCCTGCTGATGCAGGGGAGATGGGTTCGAGCCCTGGGTCAGGAAGATCCCACATGCCGTGGAGCAACTAAGCCTGTGTGCCACAACTACTGAGCCTGCGCTCTAGAGCCTGTGAGCCACATCTACTGAAGACCGCGTGCCTAGAGCACGTGCTCAGCAACAAGAGAAGCCACTGCAATGAGAAGCCCGCGCACTGCAACAAAGAGTAGCCCCCTCTCACCGCAACTAGAGAAAGCCCATGTGCAGCAACGAAGACCCAGTGCAGCCAAAAATATAAATAAATTAATTTAAAAAAAAAGAAAAACTCATCATGTCCAAAAACAACTCTCAGAAGTAAGTCAATTATGAACCTCTTTAGATAAAATGACAGTTGATCCAGGCAGCAGGGCATGGAAATGTGAAAGAAACTTCATCAGCACACGATCAACGAATTTTTATTCTTGAAGAGATAAAAGAAAAGGTGAGGAAAAAAAAAGAAAGAAAATGAGAGGACATGTAAGTAGTCGAGATATATATGTATATATATATATATATATATATATATATTCACTCAAATAGACAGTTTTTGAGAAGTTATAGCATTTTGACCCTGTGTCTGGTTCAGGAAACTCTTCCTATAGGACAATAAGGAAAAATAAGTTCCAGTTCTGATTTGCCACGTTTTGCCCTTAGAAAATCACTTGACTCTCAGTAGATTACTTTCCTCTTCAAATAAAAGGCTGTTAATGATAATTACCCTTCATACCTCATGAGGTATTTTTCATCATAAAATATTAAGGCAATAAATTGTTATTATATTATAGTGTTCTCTCTACAGCTTCTGTTTTCTATTTTATGATCAGTCTTACATTATTTTGTTTTATGATCTATCTTGTATTACATGTGTAACATTAAATTGTATATATTTTAAATTTTTTTGGCTGCCCGCGCATCACGTGGGATCTTCATTCCCGACCAGGGATGGAACCCGTGCCCTCTACAGTGGAAGCGTGGAGTTTTAACCAGTGGACCGCCAGGGAAGTCCCTAAATTACATTTTAAAAACTAAAAATTGTGTCTTCCATTTACTTATGAGTCATGTTGCATAGTTCTAAATCTAAGGATTAGAAACTAGCAATATTTTAGAGAACAAATACAACTTTGACCGCACTTTGTAAATATATTTGATGACTAATCATGCCGACCTTATATTACCACTAGCTCCCAACTCTATACATAGAATAATGTGGAGTAGTTATTATTATGAAGAATAAATGCGGAGTATTCATGAGTGTGAAATTTATGTATTTATGAGTATGAGATTTATTTATGAGGATTATTATTATGAGAAGTTTCTTCTTAGACTTTTTGTTTCTGTACTGTATTCTTATGGAATTTAACCTACAAAGTGCTTTCACTCATGTTACTTCATCATACATGAAAGCTATAAGGATTAATATTAATATATACATCTCAAGAAAAGCTGAATCCCCTTGTGCCCAAGGTCCTGGAGCAAGTTCATAGGGGACCGGCTTTGTCACACAAGCCCTCTGCACATCTCCTGCTCTTTCCACTGTCCCCCACAATGGTCCTGGTGATGCCCGAAGCAGGGTGTTTTACCCACGGATGTCAAGCCTTCCTCTGATCCTACACATTTCTATATGCTACAGTCCGCATGAGAATTTTACAATCCTAACACTCATATTTATTTTAAAAATCACATGTCCATTTACAAACAAGACAAAAATAATAAGCAATGACAGAAACTGGAGGGCATATGTGGACACCCTGACGTGAGAAAACGAAAAATGAAAGAACAAGCAGGTTACAATCAACCCCATGGTAAGCGAAGTCTTTGGCTTACAATGCATGCTCATGCGCACGTGGCCCTGGATGGGCAAGCTGCGGACACAGGCGGTCTCCGCTATGTCTGCCCCTTCCTGGGGCCCTCAGGGTGTGGAAAGAGTCCCTCCATGGCTGAGAGTTCCTGCATGGGCCCAGCACGACGCTGAAGGCAGGAATTGATAATGGACTTTTTTTCCAGCCAGGCTTCACAGAGCCCAACTCCCTGCCCCACTACTATGGCCCTCAGGTACCCCCCCACCCAACTGCAGGCCACTCTAAGCCCATAGTCATCCTGAGTGTCTGCAGGCCCTTAACCCGAGGTGGCATCGAAGTGCATGTGCATAGGCCCCTTCTCCACGTGGAGCTGGGATGGCCCTAGGATGCCTGCGCACCACCTCCCGGCCCTTAGCACCCCTGAGCCCTGGTAGTATTGGGATATCTGCCTCCTCCTGTATCCACACCTCCTAGCTAGCACATGGCTGATAGAAAGACTTCCTTTAAAGTGTTCTGTCACATTCAGAAATATGGAAATAAACAGATCCTAGCGTTTGCTTACACAACGTAAGGATGGCATTCACAGACTTATGTGGGTTGGCCCATCCCCTGTAAAAACCCCACGGTACAGCCCCACCTAACCTCCGGTGCTCTGTGGCTCTCTGCCGATGACCCTGCCACCCCTCTCTTCTCCATTTTGAGACAGGTGCTTTATTATTATTATTATTATTTAAAAATCCAGATAGATGACTACATTGAAGACATTGCATGTTATTTTCCCCAAATCTTACTTCATTTTGGACAGACATGAACCATAATACATGCTAGAAAGTTGGAAACTGTGTTATTTTCAGTGTAGTCACATTTAACTTCTTGGTACTAAGCCATTGTACTGGTAAATAAACCGATGTATCAGAAGTAAACATTAATATGCATGACTGTGACATCTCTTTCCTTGATGATAATAAAAATTTACAAGGATCAGGGGCTTCCCTGGCGGCGCAGTGGTTGAGAGTCCACCTGCCGATGCAGGGGACACGGGTTCGTGCCCCGGTCCGGGAAGATCCCACATGCCGCGGAGCGGCTGGGCCCATGAGCCATGGCCGCTGCGCCTGCACGTCCGGAGCCTGTGCTCTGCAACGGGAGAGGCCACAACAGTGAGAGGCCTGCGTACCGCAAAAAAAAAAAAAAATTACAAGGATCACTGAAGGGAGATATCTACCCATAAGAACCAGAAAACATCAAGAAGAGAGAGTGCAGGCTATGCTCTGAATGTTTGTGTCCCCCTCCCCAGCATTTACATGTTGAAAACCTAATCTGGAGAGGATGGTATTAGGAGATGGGATCATCAGGAGGTTATTAGGTCATGAGGGTAGATTCCTCATGATTGGGATTAGTGCCCTTGCCAAAGTGCCCCTTCCATCAAGGTGAGGACACAGCCAGAAGTTGGCAGTCTGCAATCTCAGAGAGGGCTCTCCCCCAAACTGGACCGTGATTTTGGACTTCCAGCCTCCAGAAGTGTGAGAAATAAATGTCTGTTGTTTCTAAGCCATGCAGTCTGTGTTTTTTTGTTTTTTTTTAAAATAGCAGTCCAAAGGGAGGAAGGCAGTGTCTAAACAAACACAAGCTCAAAATAAAAATAGCTGTTTTCCCTTTGCTATGAATCCATTTTCTACTAAAAATCACCAGTCATTCCATTATTTTTCAAGAGAGGACCGAAACATCAAGCTAACTAACACGTTTTAAGGACGTTTTAAAATTGCACAACTTTATTTTAAAACTGTTTACTGGAGGAAATATGAAACTCTTGAAAACTCTGATTCCTTTGAAATCCCCCTTCAGACCCAAGTGTTCAGTTCCTTTCTTGCCAGGTTACCTGCAAGACTGAATATCACCCTGTCACGGCCTCTGGCCGGTGCCTGTAGAGCAGGCAGAGCAGGACCAGGGCGCCCATTAGGGTGCACACGCCCAGCTTACGCCAGGTCCCCCGCGCCTTGGGCCACCGCCACAGCCAGGTCAGCGGCCAGCGCTCCCGCCGCCTCTGCGCGCAGAAGGCCACTCGCTCCGCCACCCTGCGCAGCCTCTCCTTGGGGTCCGCGCCCCCCAGGGCCTGCGCCAGGCTGTACAGGTCGTTGGTGTAGGGGGCGCCGCCGTGGTGCCTCACCAGCTCCTCCACCAGCCCCATCAGCGCCATCACCTGCGCCTCCCGCTTCCCGCCGGCGGCTCGGTTGTCGAAGGCGCAGAATCGGTCCCCACACTGGGCCACCAGCTCCCTGAGCGCGCGGTTCTCGGTGTCGCGCACGTAATGCTGCAGCGAGCCCCCAGCCAGGTCTTCCTCGCGGGTGAAGACCACGATGGTGCGCGTCACGATGCCGTCCCCGAACAGCGCCTTCACCCCCCTCCAGGCCTGCTGGTCCTGGGCCGTGAAGCGGCCCAGCTGGGTCACCAGGAGCAGGGCGTGGGGCCCCGGCGCCGAGAGCAGGTAGCAGCGGCCTCTCTCCGTGCAGCCCGGGTCTGTCTGGGAGACTTCGGAGCTGAAGAGGTCCGGGGTGTCAATGATTTCCACGTCCCACTTGGCCCACCTGCAGCTGCCCGTGGCGCAGGTCCGGGTCACCGACGTCGCCCCGAGCCTGGAGATGAAGCGCTTCTGGCCCAGGATGCTGTTTCCCGTGGCGCTTTTCCCAGTCCCTGACCTCCCGGCCAGGAGGAGCCGCAGCCTGGGCTCCTGCAGGGCAGACTCGCGGGCTTCTAAACCTGTGAGCACCAATGATCTGTAAGCTCCCGAACCTGAAAGCACATATCCTGGTACCCGGGTCCCCTGGATGCCTCTGAACAAAGGAGAACAGAGTGCTTCGACTTTTGCTTTTCAGACCAAACCTTTACTGAGTGCCCTGGTCGGAGATTTGTGAACTCCGGGGGATCTCTACCCGTCTATTTCTTCCCTCTTTGGCGTCACACATGCACCTGTAGGTGCGCCAGCACCCGGTGAACGTTTCTGTAGAGGACATCCCTGTATAATACAGGCCATTACTTCGTGTGACGTGACCTGTCATCCACACTGGGCAGAGCTGCTCCCTATTGGACAACTTCAGTGGCCTCTGCCTTACTTCCCCAGATACCCTCTTACCGAAGATAGGCAGGAGGGGCAGTGGGCCTCGCTGTGAGGGCTGTCTGGTGTCCCACACCCTCGGTCTGAATCACAGCCCCACCCCCGGCCAGCAGTGTGACCCTGGGAAGACGCTTAATCTAAGTGCTAAACCTCTTCTGCACAAATGGGATCATTAATGTAGCGCCGTCCTCATAGGGCTGTTGGGAGGATAAGATGAGACCATCTCTTCTTCCCTCCCTCTTTCCCCCCTCATCCTCTCCTCTCAAACCTGCTGCCTAATAAGATACCTGGGTAACCCTCCATCCTTGTTCCCTAACACCTTCTACCTGGTGAATCATGTTCCCTCTAGTATATAGTTGGATTCCCTCTACAGCCCCTTCTGTGGAGATCAGAGGAGGTTTATTCATTTTACCTTAGGGACGGAGGTGCAGGTTAGTCAAAGAACTCAATATCTCACAGCAGGTCAGGGGCAGAGATCAAGGTCAAATGCCAGCCCCAGGGCTCTTTGCTGTTTCATCCCAGCATCGAGAAACCTCTGGGACTTCTCTCTGTTCAGTGTTGAGTTAGCCCATCCCCCTTACTACCCAGAGCTCATACCTGGGGGCAAACACGCGTTGTGAGGCATGTCCTTACCATAGGCGTTTTCTTCATCTCTTGCTGTCTTCTGTCCTCTCATGATTCCCTGAAAGTGTCCCCAACACAAGTTATTTATTTTTTCATTCATTCACTCGTTCATTATTCATTCATAGGTAAAACTACCTACTATGTGTCAGGCAAAGCCCAAAATGCTGGTGACACCACAGTTAAAATGTCATAGTTCCTGCCCTCTCCGAGCATCAGAATTTAGGGAAGACAGTGGAACAGCTTGGTCTGTGGTTGGGACGATACTATGAGAACACCTGGTGAGCTTGTGCTGTCTTTTCAGGGCCTCGAAATGCACAGAGCAGAGGGGAGATGACAACACCTACTCTATGTCAATGAATAAGCTTTTGATGTTCATTTTCCCAGGTAATTCTATGTCAGTGACGTAAGTTGTAGAAAATAAGTTTTCCCTGGAGGTTCAGCACCTGGGGGTGGGGTGGGGGGTTTGTCAAACCCTGAGAACAGGAAAGTTTGCTCACTGATTTAAGACCTACCTTAGGGTTGTTGGCCTGGGAAACAAGAAGAAACTTGGAATTTTGGTTTTGGAAATCAGAAAACAGACATATTTCCCAAGCTGACCTGGAAAGCTCCTGACTCTGTGCTCAGAAAACCACAAAATTTGGCTCGTCCTAATATGTCTAGGAGGTGGGATCCAGAAGGCGGAGGAGGGAGACCCCAAGCTCACCTGCCCCCATGAACACATCCAAGCTACAACTACATATAGAGCAACTCTCTCTGAGAATGACCTGAAGACTAGCAAAATGGCTTTTCTACAATCAAGGCTGTAAAGAACCTCATGGAGTCTGGTACAGGGGGAGGAGAAGCAATCTAGTTGGGACCTGAATCCCTAGTGGGGACCTAGAAGTGGAAGGGGCTATCCCAGGCTTGGGGATCCTCCCTGGGGAGTGGGGGGTTTGAGCCACATATTAGGCACCACAGGCCTGGGCTTGACACTGGGAAGATGAGCCCCCTTAGCTGGTTTGAAAATCAGTAGGGCTTACTGGAGGGCTGTAAGAACCTGAGACTCTGGTCTTGAAGAGCACAAGCATGCTTGCTCTCAGTCCCAGTGCAGAGGCAGTACATTGAAGACTGCCTGGTGCTCTGGCCAGCCTGCCGGGACTGCCCCAGAGCACCTCCCAGCCCTCTCCAGGCTCCCATTCCAGCCCCTACTGCTCCAGCACTGCCCCCCACAAAGGCCGAGGCTGCCATTGTCAGTGGGCATGTGTGCACCAGGGAAGGAGCAGAGAGAGCTCCGGTGTGTGGCTCCAACCCCCCTGGCTCTCTATCCTGCCTCTAACCAAGGGGTACACACTGAGGAAAAAGTAGAAGCAGCTCAGAAGTGCAGCCTCAGGCTCTCAGGCCCTGGCCACATCCCCAGCCAAGGTGAAGACTGTCATCACATCTGGGGGAAGCCCAACTCCCTTAGGACTCCTGCCCAGCCCCTTGGTCCTTGACTCCTCCCACAATAGGCTAACAACTAGCCCTGAGCCGAGGAGAAGCCCTGGCTGGCACCTGGCTCTGGCTCTAGCCCTCTGCCTCCAGCCTTGCTTCCCACCAAGGTGGTGGCCGCCTGCACACTGTGGGAGAAGAAGCAGTCCCCGCTCACTTCACGTCCAGCTCTCCCACCAAAGCCACTGGTGACAGGCACACTGCAAAGGGTTGCTACCCACAGGGACATGCCTTTGAGACCTGGACAGGTAACCGTTTCACCTAATTTCATAGAGACACACAGAGAAAGTCAAACAACATGAGAAAACAAAGGGATATATTTTAAATGAAAGAACAAGATAAAACCTCAGGAAAAAACCCCTAATGAAACAGAGATAATAATTTACCTGACAAAGAGTCCAAAGCAATAGTAATAAAAATGCTAACTGAACTTGGGTAAACAACAGATGAACACAGTGGGAACTTCGGCAGAGAATTAGAAAATGCAAAAACCAGTCAGAGCTGAAGAACACGATAACTGAAATGAAAAATTCGCTAGAAGGAATTAAGAGCAGATTAGGCGATGTAGAAGAACACAGAAGACAGACTAGTGGAAATCATCCAATCAGTACAGCAAAAACAAAAACACATTTAAAGAAAGGAGGAGAGTTTATGGGACCTCTGGGAAAAGGTCAAGTGTGCTAACATTCACATGATAGAGGTCCCAGAAAAAGAGAGAGAAAGGGGTAGAAAATGTATTTGGTGAAATTGTAATTGAAAACTTTCCTAACCTGAAAAGGGAAACAGATATCAGGTACAGGAAGCACGGAGCACCCCTGTCAGAATGGTGTTATCCGAAAACAAGAAACAACTGGTGTTGTTGACGAGGATGTAGAGAAAGGGGACCCTAGTACACTGATAGCAGGAATGTCAACTGGTACAGCCACGGTGGAAAACAGTAAGAAGGTTCCTCAAAAAATTAAAAATAGAACTACCATATCATCCAGCAATTCATTCCTGGCTATATACCCAAAGAAAATGAAAACACGAATTCAAAAAGATGTGTGCACCCCGATGTTCATAGCAGCATTATTGATAATAACCAAGATATGGAAGCAACCTAAGTGCCCATCAACAGATGAATGAAGAAGGTGTCATATATATACAGATAGATAGATAGATATAATGGAATATTACTCATAAAAAAAGAATGAAAAATAAAAAAGAATGAAATCTTTCCATCTGCAACAACATAGATGGACCTGTAGGGTATTATGCTTAGTTTAGTAAGTCAGACAGAGAAAGACAAATGCTGTATGTTTCCACTTATATGTGGAATTTAAAATAAAGCAAACAGAGGAATATAACAAAACAGAAATAGACTCACAAACACAGAGAATAAACTATGTTTACCATTGGGGAGAGGGGTGGGGGAAGGGGCAAGATGGGGAAGGGGATTAAGAGGTACAAACTACTGGGTATAAAATAACTAAGATACACCAATGTAATGCACAGCACAGGGAATATAGTTAATTAATATTTTATATTAACTTTATATGGAGCATAAGTATAAAAATGTAGAATCACTATGTTGTATACCCGGAAGTAATATAATATTGTAAGCCAATTATACTTCAGTAAAAAATAAGTAAATAAATAAGTCTAAATATAATCTGTGTGCTGGAGAGACTGGGATGCTCCCCTCCAGCTCTTTATGTTCTTGCCTCAAACCTGAGGCTTTTTGAAGTAAAATACGCACTCCAACATTATTTAATACAATTAAACATTCTGTGGTCAAGTTTGCCTGATCACACGAGTGCCTGAACACGACAGCACAGTCTCTCCTCAGTCTACTCCAGCCTCATTCCCACCTAATCCCCTCCCCAGTCAGCCCCTCCACAAACAGCAGATTTCAGGGCCTTTTCCAACCCACCTTGTGCATTCATTCCTAGGACCATTCATCCCACCGCACATTTCTGCCTGAGTCCTGTCTGTGCTTCAACGTCCATTTCAAATTCTACCTCTTCAGGTCGCCCACCTGGTTCCTACAGGTAACTGTGTTCTCCCCCTATTGGCACCAACAACGAAGCAAAAGCAAAGGGAGAGGTTGGCTGAATAACCTGTCTCTGGCGAAAGGACTCAGATGGTAGGTTTGCCTAGAGCTCAAGCCAAAGCTGTGGGTGTCTCTGCAGTAACTCTCCTGCCGCTGCCCCCCCCACTCCGTTACCCACTCCACCCCCATCACCCCACCCCCCAAAGCTTCTGTAAAGTTTACCCCAGGGCTAAATCACATAATGTGATTCGTTATTTTGTGTCTAGAAATCAACAAACTCCCTTAATTGACACCAGAGCAGCCCACAGAGCCCAGTTTGGGGTGGGGAGCAGATGTTCAAGTGATCATGTAGGGCAAGGGTTGAGGACCAAGTTCACAACCTTAGCTGTCTCTTGCACTATTGTGGATAGTGCTAAGGAGAGTGGAGGTTTTAGGAGGGTTCAGCTCAGATATATACCGAATTTTCACTTTGTAACTTGCTCTGAGGTTAGCTTCCCTGTAAGTCCCCAGGAATACCTTTTGCATTTGCTGCACATGTATTTGGGGAGTGTTCATTGCCTTTGCAGTAGTTCTAGCAGAAGGACTAAGGGAGTAGGGAAGGAGAGAGAATTTAGTCCCAAAAAAGAGCGTGTGCGCAGCAGAGCTCGAGAAGATGCTTACCTGTTCTTCTGAACTTACTGTGTTTGACACTCAGAACAACCTTACAAACCTAGAGGCACATGAAGTTACCGTTTCTAGATCCTGCCCCCCTTTCACATACCTACTAGAATGCAGCTGCTCACTCAGCCAGCTTCACACAGGCAGAGCTCTTCCTGTTCCCCACAGGTCCTGCTCCGGGCTGGTTCCTTTTCCCTTGTGCTCACCGTTCCTGCAGGATTGGCGACAGGCTCTAACGCTGGCTCCAAGAAGCTCCTGACCTACCGCCTGCCCTTGGACTGTGGGTCCAGTGGGCGGTTTCCTCTCCACACATGGAGGAAGTCTCTGTGCCTCTCAGACCTCAGAGTTCAGGAAGCTCAGGGAGGGGGAGCCCAGTGGTGATGACTTAAAGAGACAGAAACATTGGCCAGTGAGGTGGTGGGTGTGCAATGTTGTCATTGCGAATCCCACCCGCTGCTTTGGGCTATGGTACTGTTTTCCAGAGGTTCCTGTGACACCAGCATGTTGGCCCTGGCAGGGTCTATAACCTCAGCGGGGAAGAGCACTTTAGGTTTCTGAGGACTCGTTTTGTTTCTGACCTTTGACCAGCAATCTTATCTCCAGTTGTCTTTTGCTTTTCAGGCATTTTTAAAAAACAAAATAAAATGGCCTTCCTTCCCCAGGACAGGAATTTGAGAGGAATCTCTGAGTGAACCTCAGAGTGGACAATGCCACCAAAGTGGTCCTACCTGCTAGGAACATCACACGCAAAGTCTCATCATTCTGAAAGAAAAGGAGGGCTTTTCCAGCTATTAAAAATAGGACAGCCGGCAGAAGACAGAAAATTTTTATACAGGGCTTAACCTAGCCATCTCTGTTAGTACCTCCAACTCAAGTGACTGTTTCTCCTCTTAGGAGGGTCATGAGAAAGGTGAGTAAAATAGCCAGTCATTGTGTGGAGAGAAGTATTTTGGTGACACACGCCCTGGACCTGGTTAGATTATTAACAAACCGTGTGATCTTGCCTAACTCACTTCAACCTTCTGGAGTTGACTTTCCACGGATATACTGAGGGGATTAACTTCATCTGAAGCTAATGGGCTGGGGTGTGATGTTCACCCATTCCTGCCAGCTCTTTAGTGAAGAACCCAACTCCCACTGAACTCCACCTGGTCACCCCCCCCCCCACTCTGCCCCCTGCCCATACCCTCCAGCTTTATTGAGGTATAATTGACATATAACAATGTATGTGTTTAACGTGCATGATGTGTTGATTTGATACACTTTTATATTTCAGAATGATTACTGCCATAACATTAGCTAACACCTGCATCATGACACATAATTACCATTTCTTTTTGGCGGTGAGAACATTTAAGATCTACTCTCTTAGCAATTCTCAAGTAGATAATACAGAATTACACTATAATCACGGTGCTGTGCATTGGATCCCCAGACCTACTCATCTTCTACGTGGAAGTTTGTACTCTTTGACCAACATCTCCCCATTTCTCCCATTTCCCAGCCCCTGGTAATCACCATTCTACTCTCAATTTCTATGAATTTGGCTTTTAAAAATTCCACATAAAAAAATGATATCATACAGTATTTGTCATTCTCTGACGGCTTTGGCTATTTGAAATATTTTGTGCTTCCTTACAAATTTTAGGATTGTTTTTTCTGTTTCTGAAAAACACCGTTGGAATTTTGATAGGAACTGCATTGAATCTGTAGATGCTTTTGGGTAGTATGGTAGTATTTTAACAATATTAATTCTTTCAATCCATGAGCATGGAATACATTTTCATTTATTTGTGTCTTTTAATTTCTTTTATCAATGTCTTATAATTTTCATGTGCAGGTCTTTGACCTCCTTTCTTAAATTTATTCCTAGGTGTTTTATTCTTTCTGATGCTACTGTAAATGGGATTATTTTCTTAATTTCTTTTTCTCATAAATCATTATTAGTGTTTAGAAATGCAACTGATTTTTGTATATGATTTTGTATCCCACAACTTCATTGGATTTGCCTATTACTTATCACATTTTTTGAGTGGAGTCTTTAAAATTTTCTATATATAAGATCATGTCATCTGAAAATAGAGACAGTTTTACTTCTTCCTTTCTGATTTAGATGTCTTTTATTTCTTTCTCTTGCCTAATTGCTCTGCCTGGGACTTCCAGTACTATATTGAATAGAAGTGGTGAGAGTGGGCATTCTTGTATTTTTCCTGATCTTATAGGAAAAGCTTCTAGCTTTCCACTGTTGAGTATGATAGCTCTGGGCTTATTGTATATGACCTTTATTATTAGAGGTTTGTTACCTTTGTATCCAGTTTCTTGAGAGATTTTATCATGAAATGATGTTGAATTTTGTCAAATGCTTTTTCTGTATCTATTGAGATGATCATATGGTGTGTTTTTTTTTGTTTTCTTTTTTTAGCATCTTTATTGGAGTATAATTGCTTTACAATGGTGTGTTAGTTTCTGCTTTATAACAAAGTGAATCAGTTATACATATACATATGTTCCCATACCTCTTCCCTCTTGCATCTCCCTCCCTCCCACCCTCCCTATCCCACCCCTCTAGGTGGTCACAAAGCACTGAGCTGATCTCCCTGTGCTATGCGGCTGCTTCCCACTAGCTATCTATTTTATGTTTGGTAGTGTATGTATGTCCATGCCACTCTCTCACTTTGTCACAGCTTACCCTTCCCCCTCCCCATATCCTCAAGTCCATTCTCTAGTAGGTCTGTGTCTTTATTCCCGTCTTGCCCCTAGGTTCTTCATGGCCTTTTTTTTGTTTTTTTCTTAGATTCCATATATATGTGGTAGCATACGGTATTTGTTTTTCTCTTTCTGACTTACTTCACTCTGTATGACGGACTCTAGATCCATCCACCTCACTACAAATAACTCAATTTCATTTCTTTTTATGGCTGAGTAATATTCCATTGTATATATGTGCCACATCTTCTTTATCCATTCATCTGTCGATGGACACTTAGGTTGCTTCCATGTCCTGGCTATTGTAAATAGAGCCGCAATGAACATTTTGGTACCTGACTCTTTTTGAATTATGGTTTTCTCAGGGTATATGCCCAGTAGTGGGATTGCTGGGTCGTATGGTAGTTCTATTTGTAGTTTTTTAAGGAACCTCCATACTGTTCTCCATAGTGGCTGTATCAATTTACATTCCCAGCAACAGTGCAAGAGGGTTCCCTTTTCTCCACACCCTCTCCAGCATTTATTGTTTCTAGATTTTTTGATGATGGCCATTCTGACCGGTGTGAGATGATATCTCATTGTAGTTTTGATTTGCATTTCTCTAATGATTAATGATGTTGAGCATTTTTTCATGTGTTTGTTAGCCGTCTGTATATCTTTTTTGGAGAAATGTCTATTTAGGTCTTCTGCCCATTTTTGGATTGGGTTGTTTGTTTTTTTGATATTGAGCTGCAAGAGCTTCTTGTATATTTTGGAGATTAATCCTTTGTCAGTTGCTTTGTTTACAAATATTTTCTCCCATTCTGAGGGTTGTCTTTTCGTTTTGTTTATGGTTTCCTTTGCTGTGCAAAAGCTTTGAAGTTTCATTAGGTCCCATTTGTTTATTTTTGTTTTTATTTCCATTTCTCTAGGAGGTGGGCCAAAAAGGATCTTGCTGTGATTTATGTCATAGAGTGTTCTGCCTATGTTTTCCTCTAAGAGTTTTATAGTGTCTGGCCTTACATTTTGGTCATTAATCCATTTTGAGTTTATTTTTGTGTATGGTGTTAGGGAGTGCTCTAATTTCATACTTTTACATGTACCTGTCCAGTTTTCCCAGCACCACTTAATGAAGAGGCTGTCTTTTCTCCACTGTATATTCTTGCCTCCTTTATCAAAGATAAGGTGACCATATGTGCGTGGGTTTACCTCTGGGCTTTCTATCCTGTTCCGATCATATGGTTTTTATTCTTTATTTTGTTAATGTGGTGTATCACATTGATTGATTTGTGGATATGGAACCATCTTTGCATCCCTCTTCACCTCGTTTTTGAACAGTGTCTTTTCTTACCTAATTGCTCTAGTTAGAAACTCTGGAACAAAGTTGAAATGAAGTGACAAGAACAGATATCCTTGTCTTATATCTAATCTTAGCAGGAAAGCTTTCAGTCTCCCATTATTAAGTATGGTACTAGCTGTAGAATTTTCACAGATGTCTTTTACAAGGGTTGTCGAATTTTCCTTCTCTTCATAGTTTGTTGAGTGTTTTTACTATGAACCTGTGTTCAGTTTTCTCAAATGCTTTTTCTAAATCTATTGAAACGATCATTTTTTCCTTATACTATTGATATGGCTTGCTACATTAATTGATCTTAAACCAATATTGAATTTCTGGGATAAATTCCACTTGTTCATGGTGTACACGCCTTTTTATATATTGCTGGATTCTCTTTGCTTGTATTTTGTTGGGATTTTTGCATCTATATTCATAAGACATATTGGTATATAGTTTCTTTTGTTGTGATGTCTTTTTCCGGTTTGATATCAGTATAATACTGGCATCATGGAGTGAGTTGAGACGTGTTCGTCCTCTTCTATTTTTTGGAAGAGATTGTGAAGAATTGGTATTAATTCGTCTTAGATGTTTGGGAGAGTTAATCACTAAAGCCATTTGGGCCTGGGGGTTTTGTTTGTTTTTTGTAGTAATATTTTTTATTAGTAATTGAATCTCTTTAAGTGTTATAGGTCTATTCAGACTTTCTATTTCATCTTGATTCAGTTTTGATCGCTTATGAATTTGTCCATTTAATCTAAGTTACCTAATCTGGGGGGCATAAAATTGTTCATAATATTTCCTTGTAATTGTTTTATTTCTGTAAGCTCAGTACCAGTGTTTCCTCTTTCATTCATGATTTTAGTAATTTAATTTTCCTCCATATTTTTTTGGCCAGACTACCTAGAGATTTGTCAATTTGTTGATCTTTTCAAAGAATCAAGTTTTGGTTTTGTTGATTTTCTATATTGTTTTAATATTCTCTAGTTCATTAATTTCCACTCTAACTTTTATTATATCCCTCTTCTGACTGCTCTACATTGTTTGTTCTTAATTTCTTACTGCTTTATTATGAAATATTAGATTATCGTTTTGAGATCTTCTTTGTTTAATATAGGTATTTCCAACTATAAAGTTCCCTCTAAGCATTGTTTTAGCTCTATAAATTTTGCTATGTTGTTTCTTCATTTTCATTCATCTCAAAGTATTTATAATGTCCCATTTGATTTTTTCTTTGACTCATTGGTTATTTAAGATGGTGTTTAATATCCACATATTACTGAATTTCTC